CTTTCTCTCAGCATTCTGTTCTGTTTTCTCAGCCTACCTAAGGGTTGGCCTATCAAATGGGCCTAGGCAGTTTCTTTACTAATAAGAAATCACTCCCACATCACTTTCTCTTTGTGATAACTCCTTTAACAACAGTTTATTCACAACATAACAGTTTTCCCTACCCTCTTTTTAAAAAAATAATTATATAATTTCTTTACCATTTTATTTTTAAGTTTTCTTTAATTTTTTAATTACTACTTCATACAATATATTGTGATCATATTCTTTCGCCTTCCCCAACCTCTCTCAGATCCTCCTCACTTTCCTCCTCACCCAAAGACAAGCTTTCCTCTCCTTCTATCTCTCTAAAAAAGACAAAAAAAAGGGCAAACTCCTATTGTAGCTACAGGTTCTATGCATTGGAGTCTCACTGCCTTTTTTCTTTGCTTTCGTATCTCCTCACTCCTTTCATTTTGCTAACTCTTTTGTTCTTCATTTAACACATCCAATATATTGTTGAATGTGGGCTATTATAATTTCTAATCCCTGGAATATTCTATGTGCATATTTTCATGTATCTTTCGGAACTCATCTCAAATACCTTCTCAATAAGGCCATTTCCGACCATCCTATCTCAATTACAATCAAATATATATACTCTCTGCTCAATTTTTCTGCTTTATATATTTACTCAACAATTATTGCTATATAGTGTTACTTAAATTGTAATCATTTGTCTCTTTCCATTAGAAAGGTGAGCTCTACCAGGGCAGAGATATTTTGGTTTCTTGCTATATACCTACCTCTTAGAATAGTACCAGGGCCACCTTAGATATTCAAAAAACTTCACCTAGTGAGTAAAGGCCATGTATTAGTTGTGTGACCATGAATAAGTAACTCAGAATGAGCCTCAATTGTCTTATCTCTTAAACCAGAAGACCAGATGTGCCTCCTAGTTTTGTGATGATTAAAATGAGATCGTGTTTATATCTTTCACATGCTCTTAACCAGATCAGGTGTCCGGTAAATGTTAACAAGAGTCTTGAGTAACTTAATTCAAACCACACTCTTCTACTTCTACAGAAGGCTAAGACACCTAGGGAGAAACTATGTAGTTAGGCCCGATCATGGTAATTCCCAGAACTGCAACCACAGAAGCAACCTGCATTGCAGCTCTTTCCCCACTGATGAATGTCAGTTGATAGGCGCAGCTGAGAGGCGGCTGTGACACAGCAGAGCCTTAGCCAGTACATGGGAAATCAGGCAGAAACTAGAATATGTGTAGTTTTTTTTTTTTTGACAAGACTGGGAAATCAAGTAATAGGCACATTTTGTTTTACTCATGAGGAGTCAGTCACGGCAGAAATACAACTTAGATACCATTCTCCCAACATACACACCTTCTCATGTGCGAGTAACAAATGAGTGCTCTTGGATGTCCTTAAGAGTGAAGGCAATCTGAATTAGAGTTGAATTAGAGTTAGTCTGCTCACACAGAACAATGGGAGGCGGAATTGTCAGCATTATATGGTCATTATGCTATGAGTTTTCAGATGCGGCCATTCCTAGTTAAGTCTATTCCCTTTCACCTATCAGCCCAGTGAGTTGTCAGGACTTACCAGGGCCCATGCTGCTTTCATCACCTCTGCCTGTACTTCATCCTGACTCTTCCTCACCTCACAGGTTGCTGAAGTGGCTATTTCTGAAATGAAAGAGAAACTCTAGCTTCTCCATGTTCTCTTTGCACCTATTAAAGGGTAGTGTTCTGTACATATTGACTATTCTTATTATTTCTAATATCAGGCTGTATCGCTGTGAATTATTGTGTACTATTATTTAATTACATATACAATATCATATTAGGATCTATGTTTGATACATAAGATCTTGCTAAATAGCTTGGCTTGGAAAAACTCATGGTACTCCAAATGTTTAGATTAGAAGCATGTACCTCATCCTTAGCCTAATACAGAAACTTTATACTCACAGTTCTTAATTACTACGGAAACCACTGCTGGATCGGTTCTTTTGTTCCCATTTTATGAAAGGGAAGCTTGATTGATTCAGGGAAACAGTTTATCATAGCCACTAAGAAAAGAACAGTGATACTTATTCCTAGATTATGCACCCACTTTTGATCCAGCACTTCCACACCTGTTAGAAAGATATACATAGATCTTCCCATTGTTGTTTCCTTGCTTTGATGGCCAAAGAAGGGACCTCTCTGTTGGGTACACCTAGACAGCCAGGTTATCAGTATCAGTCTGGGTCTAATTAGGAGAAACAATTGACCCAGTAATTTTAAACACACACACACACACACACACACACACACACACACACACACACACACACTATCCTTATGGCTGAGATATAGTGAAAGGGGGAATTTCTCTACCTCTACTTTTGGATCTATACCTCACAGCACCAACACTGAGATCCAGACACTGATGGAAAAGGTAAAGCTATGGCTAACTGGGTAGACAAACATTTACTTTGCTTGACTACTCAGAAAACTTGCCAGAAAACCACTTTGAACATTCCCAGAAGCCTACTCTTGCTGGACTTCAAGGGTTGGGACATTTTGTAGTAACTAATCACAAAACCACCTAAGAGAGGTGTGGCCAGAGGAAGCTTTTGTCTAGAAGCTAACCACCCATAGTACAGAAGCTGAACACTACGGAAGCTAATTGTCCCATGGAACATGCTGGAACTAGGAAGCACGGACCTTTTCTTCTTCTCATTCCTCTTTTGTACCCTCTGACAAAAAGTAGCATCAGTATGGCTAGAGGAGGAAATCTTTTTAAAGAACGCAGATTCAATCTCACAGTTGGATAAGGCCGTGCTGCAAAATAACCCCAAATGGCTAAGTGTCATATTTGTTAAATGTTGGTCCCTGAACAGCCTCTGTTCTCCTATTCCTAGATTCTAACCAACAGAGTGGCTTTTCTCATCCAAGTCAAAATCCAATAAGCTTGTTTTCCTGATTTTAATTTGTGCTGATTTTGAGTAGTATAAATATTAAGAAAAATTGAAAAATTCATTGCTTTCATAGAAAAATTCAAAACAATATCTATATCTGTGACTTATAATCACATTTAACCCTTAATATATATTCTTATAGAAACATAGATTTTTATAACAGATATACCAAATGTATACGTGTATACTTCCCATGCAATCATACATACAATCACACACAAATGAATACCCATTTGTCCACAGGCAGCCCCGTGTTTGCCCATGTACTTATATACATATAGTATTGATATAGATAGAAACATTTTTGGTAGAGAACAATTTTTTCCAATACCATAAGTGAATTAATTCATATATGAAGTTGAGGGCTAGTAGAAAAGTCCAAAGGAAGTTATAAAAACTGCTTCAAAGAAACACAGCTTTGGGATCAGGCACACTTCGGCAAAACCAAGATCAACAAAAGACCAAAGCAGATACTCAGGAAAGCCTCTCACTTGAAAGCACTTACAGGATATAAAATTAGCTAATATAGATTGTTTTCATAATTGGAATTAAAATCATTATATATTTAAACAATATCTTTTTTCTTTGAAAATTTCATACACTGTGTTTTAAATATATTCACCCCTCCCCCAATTCCTCCCATATCAACCACCTCTACTTTTCCTTTCCTTCCCTTTCATTCTTTCCCATCTAACTCTGAGTTTCCTTTCTCTCCCCAATCACACGAATGCCATTTTGCATATGAATACCATTCTCAACATTCTTTTGACTTGTAAAGAGTGAAACTTTGATACATCGCCTCTAAGAAAATAAGGAAAACATCTTGGCTATACCCTACTTGTGAATCCCCAATCCCTAACAATATGGCAATATTTCACAGTGGTTAGGAGTAGAGTTTGACAAACTATAATCTGCAACCTATAACCCACCAGCCACTGATTTCGTTTATAAGGATTATTGGGACACAGCCAATTGTAACAGAGACTATATGGCTTATAAAGTATAAAACATTTAGTATCTGGCCCTTTTATAGGAAATATTGACCTCATCTGTTTAAGAACATGGAATTTATAGCTAAGATATCTGTAGTAAAATTTCGGTTGCAGGGCCGATGGGATGGCTCAGTGGGTAATAGTATGCAAACCTGGTGACCTGAGTCATGCTTTGTCCTCCACATATATGCTGTGGGCTTCTAACACTGCGTGCTCTCAGCTCTCTCTCTCCTATTTCTCTCTTAACCACTAACAATAAACAATGAAAAATTAAAAAAATATTAAATCATGATAAATTTCAAGTTCTCAAACTGATGGCATGCCTTAAGCAAGTCACTTCAAGTCTCTGAAGCTACTTCCTCATTTTCATAAAATAGGAACAACTGTACCAACTCCATAGTCTTATTATGAGAATTAAATTACATATGACACATTTATGACTGTTACAAAATTAAAGTCTAATGATTGCATAGTATTGTTACCTTTTAGTAAGCACTATGTATATTAATGAAAACAAGCATGAAAGCAATCACAGACGGTGGATTTTGGTCAATACCACATACTGAAGGGATTGGCCTAATCAACTGTATCTTTCTTTTATTTTTGCTTCAGTACACAAAATGGAGGTTTAAAGAGACAGAAAATCGGCCTATTTATATAAAAATGCATGTGTGCCATCCATTTCCCTTAGGAGAAGCCATAACAGAGGAGGCAGAATCCCTCACTCATTCAGTTGGCAAAGCCAAAGAGAGAAAAGCAAAAAGGGTTTGAAAGAAACCTAATTCCAAACATAAATACATAATATGCTTGAGTACATACAAGCTGCTGGCATGTCCCTAATCTCTTATCACTATTGCATTTCTGCATCCGTTAAGAAGCTTTCTGTGCTTCAGGATGATACCTTGCCAGCAATATGAATACACCACAGGTATGGTACCCCACCACCTTACTTCCTGACTCAAGTCAGCAAGGAAGTGATGAGCAACGCCAAATAAAGAAGGAAGTTTGATTTGGGTTTATATCACAGATTACTCAAGCTCGGGGAATGGGGCTGAAGCGACTGAGTCCGCGATGGAGAGAGAAAAGGAACAGTTCCGCAAACTCTTTATTGGTGGCTTAAGCTTTGAAACCACAGAAGAAAGTTTGAGAAACTACTACGAGCAATGGGGAAAGCTCACAGATTGTGTGGTTATGAGAGATCCTGCAAGCAAAAGATCAAGAGGATTTGGTTTTGTCACTTTCTCGTCCATGGCTGAGGTTGATGCTGCCATGGCTGCAAGGCCTCATTCCATTGATGGCAGGGTAGTTGAACCAAAACGTGCTGTAGCAAGAGAGGAGTCTGGAAAACCAGGAGCCCATGTGACTGTGAAGAAGCTGTTTGTTGGTGGAATTAAAGAATATACTGAGGAAAAAAAATAAAAAAAAAGAATATACTGAGGAACACCACCTTAGAGATTACTTTGAAGAATATGGGAAAATTGATACTATTGAAATTATTACTGATAGGCAGTCTGGAAAGAAAAGAGGCTTTGGATTTGTTACTTTTGATGACCATGATCCTGTGGATAAAATTGTATGTAAGTGTCCAGGCACAAGAGGTGTGGTTTGTATATATAAAATGTTGGGTATATCAATAGCTTGTAAAACATTCAGAATTGTTTCCTATTAGAATGTATTGACAATTTTTTTTTTGTTTCAGTGCAAAAATACCACACCATCAATGGCCATAATGCAGAAGTTAGAAAGGCATTGTCTAGACAAGAAATGCAAGAAGTCCAAAGTTCCAGGAGTGGAAGAGGAGGAAACTTCGGATTTGGAGATTCTCGTGGTGCTGGTGGCAATTTTGGACCAGGACCAGGAAGCAACTTTAGGGGGGGATCTGATGGATATGGAAGTGGACGAGGATTTGGAGATGGCTATAGTGGGTATGGAGGAGGACCTGGAGGTGGCAATTTTGGAGGTAGCCCTGGTTATGGAGGAGGAAGAGGAGGATATGGTGGTGGAGGACCTGGATATGGCAACCAGGGTGGGGGCTACGGAGGTGGTTATGACAACTATGGAGGAGGAAATTATGGAAGTGGAAATTACAATGATTTCGGAAATTATAACCAGCAACCTTCTAACTATGGCCCAATGAAGAGTGGAAACTTTGGTGGTAGCAGGAACATGGGAGGACCATATGGTGGAGGAAACTATGGTCCTGGAGGAAGTGGAGGACGTGGGGGCTATGGTGGGAGGAGCCGATACTGAGTTTCTTCTTACCATGGGCTTCACTGTATAAATAGGAGAGGATGAGAGCCCAGAGGTAACAGAACAGTTTCAGGTTGTCGAAATAACAATGTTAAGGAAACTCTTATCTCAGTCATGCATAAATATGCAGTGATCTGGCAGAAGACACCAGAGCAGATGCAGAGAGCCATTTTGTGAATGGATTGGATTATTTAATAACGTTACCTTACTGTGGAGGAAGGATTGTAAAAAATGCCTTTGAGACAGTTTCTTAGCGTTTTAATTGTTTCTTTCTAGTGGTCTTTGTAAGAGTGTAGAAGCATTCCTTCTTTGATAATGTTAAATTTGTAAGTTTCAGGTGACACGTGAAACCTTTTTTAAGATTTTTCTCAAAAGTTTTGAAAAGCTATTAGCCAGGATCATGGTGTAATAAGACATAATGTTTTTCCTTTTAAAATTTTAAGTGTGTGTGTAGAGTTAAGAAGCTGTGGTACATTTATGATTTAATAAAATAATCCTAAAGAAAAAAAATAAAAACCACATTTTATTAAAATCTAGCACACTCATTTTGTTTAATATTTTGAGTTCTACAGAAGTATAAGGAAGGTTTTGATCATTTTCTTTAAAAAAATTTTCAGGAAACCTAGAGATGAAATTGTTTCTGTAAGATTTTTTTTGAAAATCACTATGAATTTTGCTCTCTTCATTGGCGTATCCAGAGATCCTATTCTTCCCTGTAGACATAGGTAGGAGGAGCCTTGAGGAGTGTGATATAGCCGGATGCTGTCTATAGTGTTTAGTCTCTCCACAAATTTATGCCCATACCTTGCTTGTGAGTTTCTAGTTCCAAAAATTTGTAAAATAATTGTATTTTCCATGTGACTTTTTCATACACCTTTCATTTGTGGTTGCCCCTTCATCTTTCCTATACTGCTTATGCCATGTGTTTTCCATGACAAGACAAACAGAAAAAAAACCACTTGTCTTACAATAGTAAATTCCTATCTTTATGTCGCCTATGACTGTCATATCCAACCCCTTTCTTCTCTGGAATATGGGGCTGTACCTTTGGGACACTTCAGGCTCAGTTAGAGGTGGTACACAATGAGCTCTCTTTCCTAAACTCTGTGCTTAGATAGCAGTCCATTTCTCCAGCACCCAGGAAAATACGATCCTGAGTTATAGTATCTGTAAGATATTGCATGTGCACCTGGATGGCATCCTCAAAACACTGTTACACTGTTAGACACACTGCATCTTTCCCAAGGCTGACTGTATGTCGTTGTTTGTCATGGTCATCTGGAATTCCCTGACCAATTATTTCTACCAATGGAAGTCTTTACTACATTTTAGATCCCGGCTCAAGGAAAAGTGTTGCATGAAGATTTTCTTAATTCGAGAATCTATGAGATGGGGTAAAGTAAGTAACTAAAACTTAGGCATGCATAGAAGAAGCTACAGCAGATTTTGATGGGAAAGAATAGCTGTGAACTTTGCACTGAGTTGCCCTCCATAGTAAATATATTCTATATTTGAAAACATTATTTGACATTAAAAATTTCTAAGTGAAAGCTTATATAGTTAATGGATCGGAATCATCACTTGAACGAGGCTACTACTTTTCCAAGAAACATTAGAAGTTTAAAACACTTCTTAATGTGTATCAATTTTAAAAATAATGAGTTCCTTGTGACATATTCACTCACGGATATATTTTGATTCTATCCACCCACCCAGTTAGTCTCTTTTCTCCTGCTTTCGTCTTCACTGTGATCCCAGGCCCTTTCCTCTTTAATGCCTTTTCGACTTTCCAGTCTTCTTTTTCTAGATTCTACAGGAAAGAAAATGTACGGTAGCTGAATTTCTGAGTCTGGTTTATTTCCCATAATCTCTAGTTTCATTCATTTCTTTACATCAAAAGCTTTAGCTCTTCCTTAAGCCTGAATGGTATTTCTCTCTTTCTGCCTCCCTCCCTCCCCCCTCTCTCTCTCTCTCTCTCTCTCTCTCTCTCTCTCTCTCTCTCTCTCTCTCTGTGCGTCTGTGCATTATATTTTCTTTATTTTACATTTGATGGGAATCTGGCCTGACTTGGTAGCTTGGCTGTTGTGGACAGTGTTGTGAAACACACTGGTAGGCTGACTGTTACAATTTGAAAATATCCTCCATGGTCCCATATACTGTTGGCTGGGTCCACAGCTTGTGGAACTGTTTTGAGAGGCACGTTAGGAGATCGGGCTTGGATGGAGGCAGTAGTCACTAAAAGCCACGTTCTTGAGGTATCCTGTCTATGCCCTTCTCTCCTTTGGCCTCATTCTAATTTTTGACTGTCATGATGTGAGCTGCACTGCCCTGCCAGGCCCTCCCAGCCATGATGGATTGAAACCTCTAAAACATGAGGCCAGATAATCTATCATTTCTTAATTTGTGGGTAACAGTCACTCAAGAATTATGGTTTCTTAAACACCTGGAAAAAATGAAAATGCGTTATATACCAAATAACAGAGTGATTATTTCTATGTGTTGAGATTAGAAGTGATGTTTGTTTTCTTAATTCAGGTTCAGCCCCTTACTGATTATATGATGTTTAAAAGAATGGAGAGATAGCTCAGTGGTTAAGAGTACTATCTGCTCTTCCAGAGTCCCCAGGTTCAAGTTCAGTGCCAACTTGGCAGCTCACAACCATCTACACCTCCAGTTGTAAAGGATCTGACTCCTAACCTCCACTGGCTCTGTACTCACACAGTGCATAGACATACATGTGGGTAAAACTCAGACGCATAAAATAAAATAATAATGCAAAAAAATAAAAAGGACATTAAAACTCCCTGGTTTGTTTCCTTATTTACAAAGACAAATAATATAAATGCTTCTTGACTCAGGAGGGAATTTCTCCTTCCACCCATAAAACAAAACAAAACAAAACAAAGCACCCTGTAAGAAGTTGAAAGAGTAATTAAAAGTGTGCCGGATGGACTCAGCATACACATACACAGTGTAGAGTATGTGTTGTTTACTATGATGATCATGTGGCTGCCTGGGAGCTGTGGCTCACTGCCAGGGCTCAGCATGGGGAAAGCACACTATTACACCTCACTAGCCCAGGGAAACATCAAAATTCAGAGTATGATTTCATTGACTATGCATCAAATTTGCACCATTATAAAGCTGAGAAACTGAAGTCAAGCCATAGCAAATTGGAGACTATCTGAAATGGTCTCAATAACACAGGGTTGTTGGGGTTAGAAGAAATAGCAATTTTTAAACAGGCATAAAATCAAAGGCATTCAGTACACCGTTTTGTCCTTGAATTTTTGTATTTTGCCATGCCCATGGCTAATTTGCTCACAAAGAGTGCAGTATTCAAACAAAATAGAGACAACAACCTGTGTCAGTTCAGAAATAATACCACGTTAATCCCCAATCGACAATTTAGAGCTCTTTAAAATTACTTGTTACAATGAAGAATCCGTCCATTCAACTGCTATCTCCTTTCAGCGTATTTACAGTGGAATTTCTTTGGTGCTTCTTTAAGCTTTAAAATGTTTTTTTTTAAGCCATCAAAAGTATAACGGATTTTCTTATGGAATTTTAGAGTAGACTTTGATTTGGTTAATCCGTGTTGCCTACTGCTCCTCACCCATCTAGCTCATCCAGCCCCTCCTTGTATCCTCAGTATTTCCCTTTCATGTCATATGCATTCTGTTATACTTTTTGCACCCTTCTTGCTTAAACTCATCTTCCCTGTTTTATGGTATTTTTTTATAGTTTCATGTCCTATTCTCATATTAACTGTCCCATAAATGTACATATATAAAAATAGAAAGTAGGATCCTCACATAAAAGAGAACATGAAGTATTTGTCTTTCTGAACTGGAGTCATCTCATTTAATAATTTGCAGAGCTACCCATTTTCATGAAATCATAGTAATTTCATTTTTCTTTATAATTGACTAGTGTTCCACAGTCTATATGTGTCATATTTTCATTATCCGTTTATCAGTTGATGGACAACTAGGCTCTTTTCATGTTCTGGCTGTTGTGAATAGAATGACAATGAGCATGGATGAGCAAGTATCTCTGCAGTAGGCTATAGAGTTCTTTGGGTATATATCCTGAAGAGGTATTGCTGGATTATATGGCAGTTCTATTGTTATTTTTTTATAGACACTCTCACACTGATTTCCATAGTGACTGTAACAGTTTCCATTCCCCCCAACACTAGATAAGGGTTCCTCCTTCTCCACATGCTTGCCAGAACTTGCCCTTTATTTTCTTGGTGATAGACATTCTGACAAGGTGAGATGGAATCTCAGAGTAGTTTTAATTTGCATTTCCCTGATGGCTACAGACGAACACTTTTAAAGATAGTAGTTATTTGTCTATTTGTGTTTCTTCTTTTGAAAACTGCTCAGTTCATTGGCTAATTTATTGATAGACAGTTTTGGATTTCTATTGGGGTTTAACTTTTATAGCTCTTCATATATTCTAGCTATGTACCTCTTATTTAGAAATAAGCTGGCAGAAATATTGTCCTGTTGAGGTGTCAGCTTCCTCTGTTGTGCAGCAACCTTTTACTTCCATGTAATTTCATAGGTCAATTCTTGGGGGACGTTTCCTGGGCTAGTGGGTTCTATTCAAAAAGTTCGCATCTCTACCTACATCTCAGTGTTCTTCTATAATTTTTTTCTCTAGATGCTTCATCACTTCAGGTTTTTTACAAATATGAGTGTGTAAGTGTTTGTGTGTGCACACATGTGTGCACGTGCACATATATGTTTCTATGTGCAGGTATGTAAGCATGTGTGTTAATGCCAAAGACAACCTTGAGTGTTGTGGTTTGAATATCTCCCATAGACTCAAATATTTGAATGGAGTTGTTGGAACTGTTTGGGTAGGATTAGGAGATATGGTCTCATTGGAGGAGATGTGTCACTGGGGTGGGTTGTGAGGTTTCAAATCTCACACCATTTCTAATCAGCACCCCCTCCCCACCGCTGCCTTGTACTTATGGATGTGATGTAAACTCTCAGTTACTGCCCCAGAGCTGTGCTTGCTTGCTTGCTCTCATGATCTCTACCATGGTTGCTATGGGCTCCCTTCTCCTCTGAAACTGTGACCCCCATCCTGAATTAAGTGCTTTCTTTCATAAGTTGTCTTGGTAACAGAGTTTCGTCACAGCAATAGAAAACTAAAGCAGGTGTC